TCAGATATTCCACTGCTCTTAAATACTGAGCTCACAGTCTCACTACAAGATCCACCAGCAGGTGTCCCGGAGCCGTTTATCATATGACAGAAAAACTGGAAGTTTAAACTTCTGAGTTTTCAGGGCAGCACCTATCATTACTGTCCTGTAGAAAACCTTTAAGAGATGATTTTGCTTTTCACTTTGTTCCATTTGAGAGGCAGAAAATAAAATCAGAAGCTTCAGAGCAGTTTAAAAAATAGCTGTGAGATTATTTTCTGTGAGAATATGAGTATAGGCCGGTCCATCACTGGTGACCTGTGTTTTTGACAGATGAGAGCAGCTCCACCCTCAGCACTGTCCGGTATGCATACAAGTATGCGGGGGTCACACAAAGTACCATTTTGAGTTGCTGCAGTGACAGTTTGCCAAAATGGACTAGGTCTGAAGCAAATGGTTTTTTAATTGGATTTTCAATCTGTCTTTGAATTCTGTCTTTTTAGGTCAATAATCGTCATCTTTATTACACAATGTGGCATCCTTTCATTCCTAACACATTACCCAGTCCATATATTTCCCATTGAGATCTGATGAATTTTCAGTTTTCCTTTAATGCTGTTAGCTACAGATTAGAAATGACTGTGCACTCCATTTACCAAAATTACTAAAGTAATCTTAACTAGTGTTCAAATTTTTAAATATAAGAGGCTGGGTGTTTTTATGATTGGATCAAAATGTTCAAAAAAGAAGCTAAATATGAGGTGAAACAGCTGCACTGTGACATTTCGTGAGATTCTGTAAGGACAGAAAAGTTATAGAAAAAAAATTATATTGATTCAAGATTAGTATAGTAAGTGGATGGTATTGTTTTAGTAATACTAACATATCCAGAAAAACTCTAAAGATCGTCCACATGTGTGAACTCAACTAAAATCTCCAGCATAGCATCAAAGACCATTTCACAGCGTCTTGTTTTGTCCTTCATGTTGAGGCTTTCTTTGAAGGCGGAAGGTTTGAAGGCTGCGCGGTCAAGCCTTTCAGCGTATCATGCTATTACTATGAAAAAATATTAGTTGCCTGCTTTGGATTATTGTGTATAGCAAAATGTAAAGGATATTTTAAACCTTTTACAGCTGATTTCCACAATGTTTGAACTGTAACAACAAAAATATTAAACTCAGCCGTGAACAGAGAAACAAAGACGTGTTCAGACTGAAATGGAGCCATTTAAAATTAATAAGAATCACTTACTCTGAGCATCTGAAGTGAGGATGAGGACTGTGAAGATCAGCGAATAAAAGATGGTTCTGCACGAGTAATGTTTCATGGCAGACATTTAAGGAACCAGCTGTGTACTTGTGTAAAAACTGTATGTGCTCTGTATGTGACAGTGCATGATATGTGGTTGACTTTACTTCCTGCTTCTGATTAGGAGTGTCTTCGGATGCATACCAGAGTTACCAGAGTACCAGAGTTTATGGTTTGAAGGCAGAAACACTCAGTATATATATACCACTTGAAACTTTGGGTATTAATCAGATTAAAACAAAAGCATAGATTTTTTAAATTCATTTCTTTATAGGAAAAACAGGATGAGAATGAATCATTATAATCTTTTTTAAAATCTAACAGATATGGAGAAAATATTATAGTTTTTAATTGCACAAAATGATTAATATTACATTTCTATTTCCAAAAGAATCACGATAAGTACAATAGCTCATTAGTCATTCATGTACTCAGAAAGTGAGTGAATAGCTGATATGATACAGACAGATAACCATTACTGTTATCATAGGTAAGTTTCTCAAGAGTTAATTCAAGTCATGGATGTGCAACAGAAGAACATCACAGTGAGTGCATGACAAAAAAAACAAAAAACATTAAAATCAATACACACAATCATAAAAATCTCCAAAAATTTGTTTCGTACTACGACTTAACCTGACTACAGCTTCTGTGACACCTCTGTCTTAGAGGACAGTTTACTCATGTGTCATGCACACAAATACATTGACAATAATCCTCAGAACAATGATAATCTCTCTCTCCCTGAGTTTGCTACCTGTATATGGCTCTTAACCCACATCCCTGCAGAAGTTGTACATCTTTACAGATCTGGTCACAAATCTACATTTTTATTATTTTAAAATGATGCATTAATATCCCAGAGCAGATATATTTTCAACAATTTTTACTGTAACACAAAAACAGTGAGAACCTAATTTTAGTAGCATGTTAATAAATATTTGGTAAACTAATGAGGAATAATGGCAGGATGATCGCGTATATAGAATTGAACTAAAATTCACTGGAAATTCAAGTGGACATTTGAGGAAGTGCAGTTTTTGGCACCTCTGTCATTTTTCAGCCCTGGAGATGACTGCTTATGATGCCACATGACACAAAATGCTTCTATTAAGCACCATATGAGGCAACAGCTTTGGTGTTAGAATCCCTAACAGCTTTAAATCTAAACAAAATGTGATGTGTGTACCTATTAGTCCATACTCTTTGCAGTTTGCTTGGCACAGGTTGTATTTTATGGTTGATTGACGTTGTAGGTGTAATTTGCTAGGTACACTGGGTGGTATTGTCTGTGCTGAGACATTGTGCCCATTTATATATCAAACATGCTCTAACACAGCTCTGGTTAGTGTACCCATTGTTAGTGGCATGACATCTGGTGAAGAATCTCAGCATAACTCTGCTAAATCCCAAACTGAGCAGAGGCATAATCAGCGAGAGTAAAAACACTTGTAGCTTGTAGGCTTTTAAATATTGACCAAAAAGTGAAGATGCTAATTCTGCTATTTAAATTATTAACAAGTCTTCAGGATCTCAGGTAGACATGGTGTGATGATCTGTGCGGTATAACTCAAAGATCAAAGAGCGGTTTTTACAGAAGTGATGAGTTGCGTTTTTGGTATCCACACTCTTTACTTCGAGTCTCTGCATTCCCTTCTAACTGTCCTTCAGGTCTCCTCTGGTGGAGATACACCAGCTTCAGATATTCATCAGTTGTCCTCTAGTGTGATTTAGTCAAGCAGTTCTTGGTCTTTATGCCAAACGGATGGCTGCGTACTCTGAGGTCTCTTCCACCTCCATCCGTGGCCGATTAACCCGCTGAGGCAGCTCGTGGTTGAGAGCAGCATACACAACAGAGCCGCTCTCCTCCTCCACTGTGTTCCTCTGTCTCTCTCTACCTACATGACTCGGTCCATAAGCCTGCTCATTATCTCTTGATAATCTAAACTCATTGGGCTGCCTTGGTGGAGTTTTCCTCTTGGTAGATCTCCGAGATGGCAGAGCAGAGGGGCTTCCTCTCTGTGAGGGCTCCAAGCTGGGTTGCGGAAGAGGTCGCTCCACCATGGGGATCTCCATGTACTGGAAACATCCAAAAATGTTTGATTTAAAATTATTGATGGAAAAAATGTGATAAGCTTGAAATATTTTATATCTTACCTGATTTTCAGCTTGACTGTCTTTCTTTGGCTTCCCTGCAGGATGGACAGTTTACATGTTTAGTATTCAGTACGTCTGGTGATGTTTTACTTTGAAGAGGCGAGAGAACACCTCACCTTTACAGCCTCGCATTGATATGACAGATATGATTATGACTATGATGACGAATGTGGCGATCCCAGCAGCAGAGTACACGTACAGCAACAAGGTTTTTGTATTTTCAGGAACAGAAGTCGTGCTGACTGCAAGAAAAACAGGTTCCAGTCAGTTTGGATTTAATAAAGCTACAAAAACACACATTATATAAAACCTTTCTTACCTCTGACATTATTCTGTGTAATAGTGGTAATTTCACCATGATCTGTAAAAAGAAAACAGAGAAGCTGTCTGAGGTCTGAACAACACAAAAATATCATGAGATTCAGAAAAAGTCTGCTGTTCAGTGTGAGTGAAGGTTTCTTAGAGAAGTATAATTAGTGAAAAATCCACACTCACCGTAGACATTGACAGTGATGGCATGACCCATACTCCCTCCACCTTGACACTGATACTGACCAGAGTCACTTCTGAGAATGTTTTGGAAGATCAAATAGAAGATCCATACTGATTCTTTTAAAGGTTTCAAATCTGTTTTAATGTGACTGTCACTGCTGACATTGATGGGGACAACTTCCTCAACTTTATGCCAGGTGACTGTTGTTGGTGAATTATTGCAAAAAAATACTGGGCAATTAATCCAAAGTTGTTGTCCAGCTGATGCATTATAAACTGTGTTGCGACGTACTCTAATTTCTGTAGAACAGTCCGAGTCACCTGCAGAAGAGAAATTATAGCAAACACATAAAGAAGAACAATTAGAAATTAAGAAATGTTTGATGTTATTTTTTAATTTAATTAAGAACATAAAACAAAATATTACACAAGAGACTGATCAAAGGTGTTTAGACAATACATGTATATAAAGACTGTTTAATTGGACAAAACAAATAAATATATAAACATATCCATCATATGCAACAATAAGATCAAAATAGAAGTAAACATGAGGTATGACAAACAGTAAGAAAGAAAAAAAAGATTAAAAAGAAAAATCACTTTGTGACATTTATTTGATGTTGAGTGGAAAAGTAATTTGCATGAACTCCAGCAGTTCAGCAAACTGTGAGTGAACCCGTCCTAACACAAAGGGAAACCTAAAACCACGTGTATTAATTTCATGTCTACCTTTTACTGTCAGATATTCCACTGCTCTTAAATACTGAGCTCACAGTCTCACTACAAGATCCACCAGCAGGTGTCCCGGAGCCGTTTATCATATGACAGAAAAAATGGAAGTTTAAACTTCTGAGTTTTCAGGGCAGCACGTATCATTACTGTCCTGTAGAAAACCTTTAAGAGATGATTTTGCTTTTCACTTTGTTCCATTTGAGAGGCAGAAGATAAAATCAGAAGCTTCAGAGCAGTTTAAGAATGCCTGTGAATTTTTTTGAATTAATTATTAGACATTTTTACCAAGACAAGAATTTGATAATAATAGTTATGCTTTAAGCGAAGTCCATATAAACCTGTAAAAATAAATATACCTTTTGTGGTACTTGATTGATTTTTGGTTCTTGTTGTAAAGAACACACCTGAGAAAAAACAGAAAAATGTGCCATAAATGTATTAATTTTCATGGAAATTGTCATAAAGTTATAAATCATTTTTGCATAAGCAGACACAATTTATAAAATCATTACTTTTAGCTGCTGCTGTCCCACAGTGTTTCTGTCGTTTAACATTCACCTTAAAAAAATCTTTTAGCAGGTGTGTTTTTAGGCAGAGTCCAGCATTATGGCAGACAAATATTTGGGTCCCACCTTCATGATTACTATTAATATTAGCACTGACAACTGTGTCACCTTTAGACCACATTTAAAGACACCTTGTAGTAGACCAGAGTGACTATAGCAAGTAATCTGTAGAAAAAGGTGTTTTAATAAGCATTACTGTGAGGTGATATTTAGATTGTCAATTTTTTTTAAACATGTAATTAAGACCATTGATCAAGCACAAGATACTTTTTAAACATTTTTAGCAACAGAAATTTTACAGGGATGTGGGGCTTCATTGGGCCCAGACGAGTATTGCATCCTCGCACAGGTGACCATGTCTGTGTTATCATTGTTTCTCCTCTTGTGTATTTACTACAGTATGTTTGTGATCACTGTCATGAGGGAAAATCCCTCTCTGAGCAATATTCTTGTGAACAGGAGTCTCTTAGTATTTTTGTAAGAAATACTGGCACGTAAACAAATGTATTTAATTATCTACACCACACCCTTTATTCTTACGAAGCCTGATATCTGCCCATTCTGACGCCTCACAGTCAGCACTGTGCGGCGTCTGTGGCCTGACCAGATCCACGTAAAACACAACAGATTTAATCTGAGCCACAGAAATATTTTGATTTCATTTAACTAAAGATTTTGAAGCCATTCATCAGCATTCTTTTTATCAGCATTGGGCGAAGCTATTTTGTGTTTTATGAACAGTTTATTTGTCACTTCATGTCTCACCCACTCCAGTCTTTTTTTTGTGTGTCTTTCTGTTCGTCTAGACCATTGTTGACCTTTGGTTATGGACAACATTGCTCTTCCTACTCCATTAAAACCACTGCTGTACATCTTGTGTCCTCTCTAGGAAGTTGCACAGTTTCATTTCTTACTTGTGTGGTCAATTCCTTTTGACACAGACCCACAAACACAGCCTCTGCCAGTCCACACAGTCTTTTTAACCTTATTCATAACTAAAAATTACAGCAGCTCTATTATGTCTGATTTACTGATGTTATACTTTTTGCTTCCTAATTTTCAACTGTGTTTCTTTTTAATGATGGCACACACAAGATTAAATACCTAACACTTCACCTTTAATATTTTAGTTATATTAAAGGAGTGCACTCATTTGCGTATTTCACTATACTGGCTGTGAATAAAATTACGTGCATCTTACGTTTCCCATGTGAAATTAAAAACAGGAAATTATACGGAGCTAGTATCTCCCCTGATCCAAACCATCACACACATTAAAAAGCACAAGGAACATAAAGTAGGCGATTAATTGAGCTCTGAGAATTTCTTTTTAATATTTTTGATCTTTTCCTCTTGTACAAATTGTTTCCATCAAGCTCCCACACGTAAGAAACCCTGCTGCTCTGGGAGAACAGAAGCAAAACTTTTAGCATCTGAAACAGAAAGCTCTGCAGATGTTTAAAGGCAGGCTGTGCCATTTATGGCAGAATCTGCCTTCGATATCTGACACCACTGATAGTTTGAGTTTGAGAGTTTGAGATCTAACTGAATTCTGCCGCTGATCTTTTTTAAAGCTGCACGACTGGCAGCCACTTTTCACTCAAAGGTTACATCATATGTGGATGTGGCACTTTCCGGGTCACAACCTTTAAAAAAATCAGGCCAACAACTTTTATCAGATCATTTCCAGTACGATCGCAAACACTTTACTTCTCAGCCTGACTGCCTGAGAAGAGAAGAAAGCAAATATTTCACAAATACTGAGACGGCACAACACAATCTGTACAAAAACATCAACTTACTCTGAGCATTTAAGGTGAGGAGCAGCCCAACCAAGATGGACACATGGAGGATGGTCCAGCATCGATTAGGCCTCATGATGCTGAGAAAAGCTCCCGTCATCGTCCAGTAACAGCCAGCCCAAGGCAGTAATGTTCCTCCAAGCGCATTATTATGTGATAAACCAAAAAGAGAAACACTGATATGAAACTTGCTGCTTCCTGTTTCTGCTCACTCCTTTCCCCTTATCTCTGTCTCTCTCCCACCCTCTGTGTGATTGTAGCTGGGGTGTGTACACCAGTGGGTGGTCTTGCTTCTGCAAATCTTGCAAGTCAAATTAAGTGAAATATCTCAAAAACAGGGGGTTCCCACATGAGCCCTCTCTCGCGCACACTTTTCATTTCAGAGTCTTGTTTCGCTCTGTGAACCTGTGCACCTTCATCATCACTTCTGGGTAGAGTGTGTGGTTCACCTTCTTTAAGCTGACTTCCTTTCCCCTCTCCTTTCCTTTTGAGTTGCCGTCTGCCTCTCCTGCAAACTTGTGCGACCTTGTGCAGAGCACTGTGGTTTGAGCGGAGGGTGTACATTGCTCTGAAGAGGAGAAGGGGACTTTGTGGCCTGTTAGGCTTTAATGCCCACTCTGTTGACATGTGTGTGTGGTTGCTGTTTTGGTAAGACCATCAACCTGTGGACCCCTTATCTGTCAGTCAATCACCTTCAGTTGGGTTTTAATGGAGTCCTCCGGGAGGTTTCTGAAGATATAAATCACCCCGAAGATGTCAGGGTTGCTTTTTTATCTTTTGAATAGAAATATACTGTGGTTGGGAGCTTCACCTATACTTAAAAGTACACTGAGCTTTTTTTCTTTTGCCCGTATCTCTCAGCTTTGACCACCAGCATGTGGAAAAATAGCTATTCACTTAAAAAAATAATCTGCCTGTTTTATAAGTAAAAATATAATTCTAATACTTTGTAATGCTGCTTCCCAACTGGAAATAAATTTGCTTAATTTTTCCAATTCTATATCTGGAAACTAGTCCTCATTTTGGAGGGGAATAACGTAACTTAATTAAAGGGGAATTTTTATGCTATTCGGGAAAATTAAAAAAAAAATGTCACAGCGCTGTTTGTATAGCAGTCTGTTCACCCGAGGAATGAACTAATTTCTGAAACAACAGCGCTGTCAGCCGGCGGTACGGCTAAGTACAGGATGAAAACCATACGCAAGCGCCCACTCTTTACGTAATGACGTAAGGAGGACGTTTCCGACGACCCGAAAATGGCGGAGTACCTGGCATCCATTTTCGGTACAGAGAAAGACAAGTAAGTTTTAAACAGTTTTCACTCAGTTTTAAATATTATTCATTCTTAAAGTCGTATAAGATATCACTTTTATGTAAAGTGTGCTTGCAGTGGTTCTATTTTGCCGGCGGTGGGGCTTATTTTCTACCCACAGCTCAGCTGCATGTCCCAGTCAAGCTAACCTTAGCAGGAGGAAGCTAACGTTAAGCTAACGCTTTGAATGAAACTCATGCCCTGGCTAACTTGCAGCCTTTGCGTGCTGTTAGTTTTCCGCCAAAACATTCAGTTGTTTTAAATGTCTCCAGTTTGTGCGTGCACGCGTTAAACACTGGAAGTGTATGTTAAAGACATTTTCAAAAAAAGAAGAAGAAGAAACCGCTAACGCGTGGCCCGCTTAGTTAAGAAGCTGATTAGCAGAGTAGCTGTCTGGCTTGTATTGTTCCGCCCCACCGGTGGAGTGCAGCAGAAAGCATCTTCCACTCTGTGCCTGCTGAAGTCTTAAGAGGCTAGAATCAATGTAATTTAATTCCCGGACAAACTTTGATCAAGTATCGCGTTAATGAAAGATCAGTAAGTAGGCCAGTCGTAGCTGTAATGTTCACACGGTCTACTATGCGACTGATGTCTTTCAGTACTAGTAGTGAGCCCCGCAGTGCTTCATTGCTTCAGTCTTATATGAAAAAGACGTGACTTGGTGGTAATGATGGCGAAAAAACGTTTTTCCTATACACCAAACAAATGACTAACATGTATTTATTGTTCTTCTTACGCATTCATTGTATAAGACAAAGTAATTCGTTACAGGCACTATTAGTGTTGCTGTTTGATGATCTCTTATTTACAGGAATGCCTGACTTGTCCCGAATAATTAAAAAAAAACTGAAAATTGTTTAGAAAACTATTTACAAACAACAATGTACACATATTGTAGATGCTGGTTTTGACATAAACTGCTACACATAATATATATATAATTTCAACAGATTTATGGGTCATAAAGCATAATTCCCAAATTCAGTATAGTTGTTGATAACCCTGGTAACCTAAGCAGTTTATATAGTAAATTTAGTCCATATTGCATCATTATATTAAGATTATCATTTGTATACAATCATTTGTATACCAATTTCACAGAGAGCCGTGAGTTGATTAAAATGCTTTTAATAGTTAAAAGAAATGCAAAATGTATGTTTTGGAAGTTTTTTGGTACCTTTTTTTTTTCTTCCCACATCTTTTCGAGTATGTATTAAATGTAAAACACATAACACCTCTGCACCTGGTGTCTGCAGTACTCTGACATTTCACGTGTCCTAAATGAAGCAGACACAGACTTTCGTTTCCTGACTGGGTTTTGCCCTGACTTCCTCTGGGAGTGGATGAAGTTCCAACTTCTTGTATAGCTATGACTCCCAAGGACCTGACGGCCATGGCCCTGATACTTTTGGATTTCATTCTGTAATGCACCCCTCCCTCCCATTTTAGACAGGCCATGTAAATCTGGTCTTTCTGTTTTGCAAGGAAGCGTCTGTGTTTTGTGGACTTAGCCAGACGTCAGGCCTGGTTTGGCAGCGACAGCACCTGCACGACTAGAGCATCTACAACAAGTTATCGGGTTGTGAAGTGTAGTTAGTCTCATTTTCTAACTTTGTTGGCTTTATGGTCTTTAAAACCAGCCTCAGATGTTAACAAACCTTCAACCAAACCTTTGTATTTATCACATTCATTTCATTCATTATCTTACCAGTCGGAGTGTGCAGCATTGTGCTGTTTCTGTGCAGTGTTATGGGTGTGGCTGTATTACTGTAGTGCAGCTACTGTTATTGTATGTTGCATCTGTAATAAAACAGTTATTGTCTATTGCTTATAAAGGTTATATCTCTATGTTCTGTATTAGGTTTTGTCTGTAAACGGTTTAAGACCCATCACTGATGGTTCAGAACAAACAGGGTAGTTGCTTTCTGCTTTTTCATTAGTTCTGTTAATATTCCAACATTCGTACACCTTAGCAACACCCAAGGTCAGATCCTGAATATGTGTGAAAATGATTTTTCTTGTTTTTTCAGGGTCAATTGTTCCTTCTACTTTAAAATTGGAGCTTGCAGACATGGAGACCGCTGTTCGAGATTGCACAACAAACCAACCTTCAGCCAGGTGGGTATCCCAGCAAAGTTCCTTTTTAAATTGATGACTTTATTGCATGAGGTCAACCACGAACCCTCAGCCCTGCAGTACACTGATAACCCAGTGTACCTCCTGACCCACTTTGGCTATGTTCACACTGCAGACGAAAGCGCATCAAATCTGACTTTTGTGACCCTATGCGACCCATATCCGATCATGGTGTAACAGTGTTAACAGCACAAATCCGATATTTTCAAATTTGATCTGGGTCACTTTCGTATGTGGTGCTGAATCCGATACATATCTGATGTTTCAGAAAGCGACTGCTGTTTGATGGTCATGTCGCATTAAATCCGTCTTTCACGTCACTGACACAAGACAGACACCAATTATCAGCACCCGAGAAGACATCGTGAACGCTTCCTGGCCATCCAGTGAAACTGTTGGGAAGACAACGTTGGAGAAACGTGAACATTTTATTTGTACTGTATAATCTGTAGATCTGACAGACAGCTATACTTTGAAGCACCGCTCCTCACTAAAACAGCAATAAGGATAATTATTAGGCCATATGTAAATAACAAAATTTGAGTGTTCACACTAGAGCATGTTTGCTGTCACATTTTGTTTGTAGTGTGAACAGCAGACAAATAAAATCAGATTTGATCAAAAAATCGGAATTGAACATTAAGACCTGCAGTGTGAATGTAGACTTAGTTTGCCCTCTTGACTTAATGAGTTGTATGCCATGGCCCTGAAGGATTTAGACACAAGAGCATAAAATCGCTCATATGCACTCAAAGTCTTTGTGGTTTTGAAGTTATGTTAGGTTTGCATGGTGTGTGTAAAAAGTGAGGGTTTTTCTTGGCTCAAAATGAGCCTTTAGAAGTGGCTACGCTCATAAGCACAATTGGTCTGCATGCATAAAGCAATGAGTCTGTTACCCTAAAAAATGTCTGTGAATTTTCCTGTTAAATGTATCCCATGCGTGAGTATATTTGATCCCTTTTACAAGAGAACTTGTCCTGGTTCTAGTAATTTTCATTCTGTGGGTGGGTGTAAATGTGAGAAAAGTGTTCTGGTCATTGTCCTGTTCATGTTGTTCCAAACTCATGTGCTTTGTTTGTCTTTCCCTTAATGTGTCACTGACTTCTTGTTGATCATTTTTAGTGTGGGTTTTTTTTTTCTCCATTTGTTTGTTTTTTTTTTGTGTGTGTGGTATTCAGTAACCTGTGTTTTGAAATTGGGAAAAAGTTTGTGCTTTATGTTATGTGAAGTATGTGAAGTTGCGTGAGGTAGGTTAACTTTGAGTGTGGGCTAAAATGTATGAGTATATATATGAGTTTGGGAAGACATGGCAAACTTGCCGCAAACACACGGCCAGCCTACATTCCAGTGTAGTTTTACATTGACCCTAATATGTCACACTTATCACATTTCTTTTTCTTTTAAGTGTGCTAAAGCATGATATTACTGACAGGCTCAAACTGAAGTCTTTGTTACCAGAAAAGGTTGAAAACCTGACACTCCTGGCTCACCAGATGCACCTTTTCTTGTTTCCTCCACAGACCATCTTGATTCAGAACATCTACCGCAATCCTCAGAACAGTGCGCAGACAGCCGACGCTTCTCGCTGTAAGTGAAACTTTCATCAGCAACGTTTTCTTGCTCTGTTTCCTAAAAGCACTGGTCCAATATAAAAGCACATCCAAGGGACTGCTTCAGCCTTCTTCACTGGAGAACTTGTTCGGACCCCATTATCTCCCACGAACCCCAACAC